AAAACATTAAAAAGCAACAGAATATATAAAGATTGAGGAAAAGCAATGGGAGCTCCTGAAAATTTATCCTCCATGTCTAACTCGGACAGATCGCAAAAAATATCATCAAAAGCAAAACAAGTTAAACATAAATCATGTATAAAATTAATCAAAAACGAACAAAAAAGCATTAAATAATGAATACTACTGAAACCATCAATATTGATCACAGAAAATAAAAAAGAATGGACCCTACCATATCACCAACCAAAAGATGAAAGAGTTAGAAAACATTTTCAGAAATCAATGTTCCACCGATTCCATTAGGGTTCTTAACCAAAGACCTTGAACCAATACATCATGGGAGATGAACTACTGACTCAAACAAGCTGGTAACAGTTTAACCAGTACAGGCTTCGGAAACTTAGTAGAAGACATTTTAAACGAGGTAACAGCGAATATTTTTTTTAGAAATGAGACCAGAGCATAATCATAGTTTCATTTAAAATAACTTTAAAATGTTCAAAAATATAATTAAAAACTTTTCAAAATTTCTTGACTCAAAAAAATGCATATCCCAAAATTTTTTTTATGCAATGAAGGAAGACGAAAAATCAAAGTCAATTATTCAAACGCAACGCCAAATGCTATATGGAAGAAAATTTTCTGCGAATCCATAGAAAACTATGCTCAACAAGGGGCGTTGGGAAAAAAATAAACAACAATTATGATTTTTAGAATTTTTTGACCCAGACTCCGGATAAGTATCAACTTATGATCTTTTCTTAGGTGAAAGAGAAGAGTTTAAACAGATGGTTTTGAATTTTTGAGAAAAAATTTCTATTTTCGGGATTTGAACGAGTCACGCCTATTTTGGTGCTATTAGTATACTTTGAGGGGTTGCAAACTTTGTTCTCAAATAAGTCTGCTCAAAATTTTTTAGCATTCTACATTTTTGTGATTTTTTGAAAAAAATTTAGAAAAAAACTAAAATAAGCAAACTTAAAAAAGTTAAAATTACCAGTTCTATGGCGTTGTGCTGGCAGGTTGTTTTCAGGGTTTTAAAAGTTTTGCCTCAAGTTATGGCTGCTCAAATGTTTTAAGCTATCTAGATATTGGATTTGTAAACCATAACAAAATTTGAAATTAGCAACCTCTGGTGGAGTACTTTAAGGATAATTTAATTTCAAAGACTGCTGAATTTGCTGCTAAAATTGTATGCTCCCAAAATTTATGACGAGAAATATTTCAGTTGAATGGTCAAAAAGGCAAAAAATCTAGGTTCCTCGGAAAAAGTTGTTAAATCCTAGTTTCTTTTTTGAATACTTCCTGTAAAAGCTGTTTTTAGTGACTGCCTAAAAACTTTTTGTCAAGTTTAAAAAAATATCTATTCCCCAAAAAAATAAATTTCACAAAATCATGACAAATATAGTTTTGAATATTAATTTAAATTGAGGTTTTCACGCCAATTAAATTGCAATTTTACGTCATAAACGTTCAAGTTAAAACTGAAAAAGTCAACAGAGTTTTTTGATTATAAACACTGAAAGTCCTCGAATCAAAAATGTTTTCCGTCATTTTTCTATGATAATTTTTTTGTTTTTGATTTGAAGCAATTGCAACTGTATTTTTCAACAAAATCATGATTTTTTTACTCTTTTTCTGCCAGTGAAACGAATTGAACATGTTGATAGACAATATAGTCACGCGACAACTTTACACTCTTTGTCTCATTTTAAATCGTTTTTCGTAGTTGAAGTTTTGATAGCGAACAAAACCTGTTGATAGCTGATGCTAGGAATGCTATATGCAAAAAATACTCTTGCTCTGCTAGATATTGGGAAAGGCCTTCTTGTTTCTGGTAGAAAGATGGATCTTCGAGGCTAAACTTTCACAGTAGTTACCAAGCACCAAAAACTCATTAAGCGGTGTTAAAAAATCAAAAACCGTATAATCTTGACAAACCAGATGGATCGATAGCGTTTCATACCTAATTTTTGGTGACTCAAAACGGGATTAAGTGACTACTTATCGAAAAACCCAGTGAGCCCGGTGCTACAAGTGATCAATTACGATGAAGAAATTGGAGTAGCAAAAACTTTTCGTTTATTTTGAAACTCAAAAATTTAAACGATCAATATTCAAATTCGTTAATCAATAGGAAAATAGCTGCGCCGATTTTTTTGACAAATGAAAAGAACAGCAAAAGCAGATAAACTTCCTCTAAACGCGCACTCAGTGATTCTTTCAGACAAAAAAAGTTTGATGTGAAATTTAAAAATCAACAAAAAAAACACCAATTTTTGATCAATTCAACATTCTTTCCGCGGATCAGATATGCCAGAAACATTTTTCCATCAATTCATAACGTGTCCGAACAATTTCATTTTTTTCAGCTTTGTTCATTTGTGCTTTTTCCAAGTTGGTTTTTTCACCGATTTTTCAACAGTTTTCGTTTTTTGATTTGTATATATCACTGATGAATTGAAAATTGAAAATTTGAAAGGCTTAAATTGAGCTCTGCTCCATTATTTACACAGTATTTGGTAAGTAAAACTTTTTAAACAACAAAAGTATTTTGTATACCACTTGATTATCCCACATTTTTAACAGTTGCAGAAACCAAAATTTTTATTGCTATTTTATAAATTGTTCATTTCAAAAGAATATTGCTCCTTTAATCCAAGATCAGCTTTAAGCAATTTTCAGTGCAATTCCCCAGTTAAAAAACCCCGGGGTTGAAATTGGAGCTACAATTGAGGTTTTGCTGCCATGTCACAGTACAACAATGTGCGAATTTGATTTAAAACTGCAGCGAACAGTTATGTAGTACTTCCCCTGTTCTAGCGATGGCGGATGGTTTTTCCGACTTTTGTAACGAAAGTAACGGAATATTTGTGCTCGAGGTGGGTTTTTCCTTCAGAAAAATTTCGATTTTTTAACTAGCCTTTTTTGACGGAATTTTTTAAATATACATTAAGAAATTTTTATTCGTTATTTTTGATTCCTTTGTATGAAAAAACATTTCTGGACTACGTTTCATGCGAAAAAAAACATTTCGAATGCAGTATTGGTTCCTATGTTCGTATGTATACCTTCATTTTTGTAGATAGGAAATTATATGATAACAAAATTATATGATTTTTTCAGAGACTCCTTTAGTACAGTTGGGGGATAAGCGTATTTTTATATGGAGAAGTTAAGCGTTGACGAGTCAGCTTTCATTGCTGCCTTTTTCGTCGCCTTTGTCTAAAAATTGTTCTTCAGATTTCGGCAGTGACATAAGCTTCTGATGAAATTTTTTCAACATAAAATATTTTATTAAGCTGTCATTCCTACTAAAGCTTGGTTGCTTGGCTTTTGAAGCGTCGGGGAAAATCGCCTTGAAAATTGATCACTTTTAATGTCTTCTTTGGTATTTCTGCAGTCATGCTACAAAAATTTGCAAGCTTTTTATCTATGAACTACAATTGGGTAATTTGGACGCTGATTAGTTTGAAATGCACTTGATGGAAGACAAAAAGGAAGACCAAAGAATTGAAAGAGTTTTTCGGTATGTTGTTGTGGTAGTGTTTGTTTTGACAATAGATGTCTTAAATGGTCAAAGGCGCCGCTTTTAACAGAAAAAAATTTAAAAAATGTGTATAAGTTCTTTTGTTGACCTTGTGCGATTATGAGCATAAATCTCTGGTAAAAGAGACGGACTAAGTGTCTCTTTCTTTGTTTTGCTATCTAAAGTTTAATTCAAGTTCATCCGTTTCTCAATGAGCCAATTTGAGCCCATAAATTCAACAACCCTGTGTTGTTTGCCAAAAAGTTTCCACAGCAAAAGCTACTCTCAAACTAGTTGTGATCTGCTGACTATTTACGACTTCAACACAACATTTCACAAAATCTTATCAAATAAGCTTCTTCCATCTGGGAGGAGTCAAAAATTTAACTCCGGGTCTTTTCTACTTGCTGGCAAAAATACGAAAACGTGGAGACATAATCGTTCATTTTCTCGTTGAAACATAAATATTCCAATTTTTTTGCCCCCTGGTTGCATATTATTTTTAGTTTTGTTTAATTTCTGCCTCAAAGTTTTCGTAGCTGTTAACTTTATATGTACATTTGAGCCGATTAGCATTCGCAATTGGAATACTTCTCTTCTTAATTTTCTTTCATCTGCTTCTGAAAATGCCTCTCTTTCAAATGGAGCTTTGACAATTTTCAATCAAAATTTTCAAGCAAAGCAGACTTTTTTGTGCAATTAGATCAAGCATCGACAAATGAAACAAAATTGAAATAGTTTTTATACATTACGTCAGGGGCGGACTTAGGGGGGGCGGGGGGCGTACGCTCCCCTTCCCTCAGGGATTCGACCCCCTGCCGACCCAAAGGGTCCCCCCTTTGGTACTTTTTAAGAAATCCATTTTTTGCCGACCGACCCCTAAATTTTTTAAAGGCGCCAATATATACTAACTTTGAGGGGGAGCGCGCGCCAAAAAAAACGCGATTTTTTTTGTCAAAATTTTTCAAAAAGTGCCTAAAAACGGCTTTTTTGACCTGTTTTTTCAAAAATTTGGCCAAAACAGGGACCTTTTAGTGCTTTAGAAGACCTCGGAAAATCAATTTGGTCGACCTAAAAAAAAAGGTCGTCAAAATTTTCAAAAAAATTTTGAAAATCCCCACCCCCCTCGAAAAAATCCTAGATCCGCCCCTGCATTACGTCAACTCCCATTGAGGCGGTCAGTGTTGGCTTCAAAGAATAAGAGGTCCGTATAAGTTTGGCTGATACTGACGCGGGGATCAGTGCTTGGTTAAAGCTATTGAAGGTCGGCTTGGATTTAAAAACTGCTTTTGCTTCTTAATCTTTTGGTATAGTTGCTGAGCGCGTCAATGCTACATGCATTTAAAAAACGAAAGCATGCTTGAAAAATTGAGTTAATTTGACCGTAAATGCGGTAGTAAAACCTTTTTCTTTCTCCGTTACCATTCTGAGTTAAGCTCCACGAACCCGTTATTGTCAAAATTGGTACATCGCCATAGTTGTTCGGTCTATGAGGTTGTGGAGAGAAAAAAACGTCTGCAAACGAGGCTCCTGCAATCAGAGTAGAAACCAAAATAGTTGTAATGTTAATTTTGAAGCGGAACTGAGCTGTAAACTTTGTTTTGTAATCGAAACTCCGACACATGGCAAAGTATCGCTCATAGGCTACAACCAGAATAAATTGCGATGTTTGCATGAACAGAAAATCACCAGGAACTCGTAGGTATTTTTCATTTTCTAAGACGAACAGAGAAAAAGGATTCGAAAGCAGCACGAAATTGAAATTTCCACAGGGTGGTGCTTTTCATAAAAGTTCAATTGTTTCTGATTTTTGACATTTATTTGTGTTTTGCAGATAGCTATCTGTTATCCTGGCAAGCAGCTCAAAACGTATAAATTTTTTTCATGGAAGACATTGTTTTATAGACAATCAAGTCACCTGAAAATTAGTGTTTATTTTGTTTTCCGACTTCAAACTGATTGAAATTGTTATCCCGAACTTCATAGCAAAGCAAAAAAATTCGATATAGAGCTCCCGCAAACTACAAAAAAAAACGATTTCAAAGTGTGGTTCTCTTTGGATGCTTTTGAAAGAATATAACCTTCATCTGAAGCAAATCTCTTGCAAAATACCATTTTTACTGCGGGCAGAAAATTAAAGTTTTTTTTATCTTGAAGTCTATTTAAACCATCTTGTTATCTATTTTTACACAAACCCGAAAAAATCAATTTATACCGCCTTACATTACATTGGTAACGCCGATTCGAGGTACATTACGAGCCAAAATGTGCGTTATGTAAATTGTAAGCGACTAGTTCTAAATTGTAAATTGTGAATTTCCGCGACTAGTTCTGCTAATCTAACAGGGAAGCTGATGTTTATTACGCGACCAAAACTCCATAGTCTAAATTCGGGTCTATAGAATATGGTATTTTGCTGCGATAGTCTTGAATTTTGTCGCAAAAGTCTTAAGCTTAGTCTTCACTTGATCGAAACTTAGTCACGAGATTGTCTAACCAATTATCTAACGCAGTTTCTAAAAATTCCACACAATATTAGATTACACGAATAAAGCTTTTCTTGGGAATTTTAGTGGATATTTTTGACCACAATGCAAAGTATTTGCAACAAAAAACTAAATTATCTGTTTCTTGTTGAATCGTCTAAATTTGCGTTGATTCTTTTAATTCAATCATATTTGTAGTGTCTAAAATTCAAACTCGGTTTTGAAAGGTTAAAATTGATTTTTAAGATCATCAGAGGAGTCATATATGAGAAGACTTAGTCAAAAGTTAGCCAAGCGTTGGTGCTCAGAAGCACTAGGATGTGCTGATTCACAGGGTGAAAACAGCGCAGCATAGTGCTTTTGAGCGCTATCGCTCGGCTAACTTTCGACCAACTCTTCTTATACATGAATCCCTTGGTGGCCTCAATTTTTCAATTTTGTCATTTGAATAGAATTTTAAATTTTGGCTCTTTTTCCTTTCCCCCACCTGCAAATTTTTACATGTAAATTTGTTGACCACATTGTCCAACTGCTATGAAAATTTACATGCAGACCAATAAAGCCGCGAAAAACATATTTGGTCTCCATACTCAACCTCATAAAACCACTCGTTACACTAAAAAATTGAAGCTCAAGTGAGGTGGGGGGAAAGGAAAAAGAGCCTAAATTTTGTCTGAAAGCAACTTTAAATTTCTAATGTATTCGATTATTTTGATGTTTTTTCTGTTTTCTAGCACGTGTAATAATGTTCGTTATAGAAAGTGCATAAGTGGCTGTCAGAAGTATTGGATTCACGATGTTAGGGAGATTTGCCGGAAATTTTCTCCCAGATGTGCAGGTTTTTTTAAATTTTGATATAACCCCCTCTCCAGTACCCCCCTTAAGATTATGATTGGGACTTTGCTGCTATCTAAAAGTTGAGAAGATTTCCAAAAAATTAAGAAACTGAGATTGCAATTTCTAAAAAAAAATTGCAAAAAGGTTTGCAAAAAGGTTTGCAAAAAAAAGGTTGCAATTTTATTTTTTTCTCAGGTTTTCTTCTCTGTTCACAGATTGCACGGCTTATTAGATGGGCTTTAATGTAAATTATCAAAACTATAGATCAAGATAATTCAATAGATAAAAAAATTCTAGTCAATAAAACTCAGGAGAGCAATACAGTCTTTCAAAACTTTTTAAAAGGATATTGTACAAACAGATCAACCGCTTATTCTCAGAGACCGACAGAACTAAAGACATCAAAATTTTAAAAAAATTTTTTTGAATAAATCCTATTACATATTGATCGAACAGCAGAAAAAGTCTGCAAAAAAATCACAGTAGGAATAGCAGTTATAACAAAAAAATTACACTAAAATTGTTCAAAACAACCACAGAAAAATGATTTAAAAAATAATAAACAGGGAAAAATATGTGCAATTTAAATTACTGAAGAATAAACTCATAATATCGACAACAACTTATATCCCATTTCTAAAGTATTGACAATAGACCCCACGAGAAAATAACGTACAAACCGGACAAGTTTTTGATGAAACTAAACAAAACACGTGACAATTCAGCCAATATTGAATCAGTTTAAATAATTGTGAAACACCAATATAAAATATTCAGTATGAAAAATCAGAGACTATTTTGAACATGGCGAGTGAGACACGATTACAAAAAAAAACACACAAAATAACTTTCACTTACCTGCTTGGACAACAATTAGAAAAACAAAATGTAAAAAAATAGACTAATCTAGAACCAAGAATTGAACCAGCAAGTTTTTTTAAATCAACAGGGACAGGCAAGGAAAAATATCAAAACCATGGGTAAAGCCTTTTCTCTTAGAACAACCAATAAATGTGAAAACCAACCTTCAGATCTAGAAAAAGACTTTTTATTTTATTCAGGTGCAAAACTAAACAGCGTCAAAAAACAACTTGCCATGATTTTCAGCACTAACACCACAATCATAATTAAAATTCAAATATCAAATTTAGCAAAAGCGCAAGAAAAAAAATCCTATATTGAAACTAGAAAAACAGCTAAAAAAATTAAACAAAATGGAAGCAAACCGTTTCTTGTATTTTTCCGAAAAATATCACAAGGACAAGAAGTAACATTTTGTGTAAACCACTCATAATCAAAAACATACCAACAGTATACATTTGAAGGCGTAAGGTTTTAAAAAGACGAAAGTCCCTAACGATTTCCTAACGATTGATCGAAACAAATGACCAGAACACTTAAAATTCCCTAACAATCTCTATATATCATTTTTTCGTAAGTCTATTACACCAAAAAAGATCAGAGAAAAAGTTTGAAACATTACTATGATACGTTTAAACTTTTCAAAAAATGCATTCAGAATAGTTTCACTCGGCACGTCTTATTCCACGACATACTTCAGATTTCGCAATTGAACCCATATAACAAAAGTTTTCGTGTTATAATCTCATCTAATCATTATGCAATTAAAACACAAACAAGTAGCTTAGAACTAACGTGCTAAAGAACCCTCCACAAAAAGAGATTTACCAGCCGGGTTCTTAGGATACTATGAAAGTACCCGGGTTCAAATCCCACCGTTAAATATCGCTTTTTCTGTAGTATCCCAGTGATCGCTATTTTCCAGTGCTGATTCATGTATAATTCAGAGTTTGTTGCATAGATAAGCCTGCAATTTTTCAGAGCTATTTCAGTAATGATTCCATAGAAAATCATCGCTAAAACTTAAGAAATTTTAACTCTTTCTAGTAGCTTTGAAATGTGATTTATAGCTGATAGGCTCTTTAGCTTTACCTGCTATTAAGATTGATAGCGCAGAGGTAGCACACAGGTCTTTAACTCTCAAAAGTAGGTGATTAAACCCCTGTTAGAGCACTATTTTTTCTCATTTTGATAGGTTTGTTATTGATGTTTCATCGCTGAAAATAAGCCAAATTACCGATATTTATCGATAAAATTTGCTATTGTGGCAATGAACATCGATAATTCATCGATGACGATCGCTGTTTTTTTTTCACTTTTTTATCTTTAGTTTTTACTTTGAGCTCAACCCGTGTAATTTAATTTTTCATACGTTGCCACGAGAAGTATACATAATAAAACAAATCAAATTGAATCAAATTCAAACAAATTCTTCTAGACGAACGGAAAAGAATAGCACAATTTTCGTCGAAACACCATGTTTCAAACCCGTTTTTTAATTCTAACAAACCTGAACCTGAAGAAAAACAGTTTTTTATCAATGCTTGATGTTCAACACTCAAATAAATCAAAAATAAGTGGATAAAATACAACGAGTAATTCTACAAATCTCAAAAGTATATGCAAAATCTAACTTTGATGCAGGAAAAATCATTATCTCCTCAACGAACGAAAAAAAAACAGACAGTTTTTAGAAAACAAAGAAAAATCAAACACACAGAGTTTTCATGACAACATGAACAAATTACTAGACATTCTAGAAGAGTAGGAAAAAACAAACCGCTGCGGCTATATCGCAAAGCAGAACAACACTTTTTTGTTGACTAATTGGAATCTTCATTATAGAAACATAAATTTCAAATATTTCCCAAAAAGATTAATTTTAAATGCAAAAAAAAACATCTAAGATTGCAGGGCAAGTGTTTTTTCATAAATTTAACATAAGTGAAAAATTTGGCATCCGAAAGTAAGTCTTGTCGATAAAAAGATTTCTGAGTTCTACCTAATGTATTTTGATCCTCCCTTTGAATTATTTTGAGATATCCATTTTCAGCTGACGGACCCCAAAAAACTTCTAAAGTCGCCTTCGCCGCCAAGATATACTATTTTGAGGGGGGAGTGCGTGGTCAACATTTTTCAAAAAGTGCTTAAAATGCCTTTTTTGGCCAATTTTTTTTTCAAGGCCAAAGAAAATAAGGACAAAACAGGGACTTTTTAGTGCTTTGGGAGAGCTAGAAAAATCAATTTGTTCAACCTAAGAAAATAGATTTGACAAAATTTTCGAAAATTTTTGAAAATCGAAAATCCGCCTTCCTCGAGAAAATCCTAGATCCGCCCCTGGTTGAAACAATTTGGATATAGAAAACATTTAGATAG